TACTTCTGTGTTGTTCTTCTAATTTTTACTTTTCTTCCGAGCCTTCCTAGTCTGTTGTTCTTCTAGTTTTCACCTCTCTGAGCCTTCCTAGTAGAAGGTACTTCTGTGTTGTTCTTCTAATTTTTACTTTCCTTCCGAGCCTTCATAGTCTGTTGTTCTTCTAGTTTTCACCTCTCTGAGCCTTCCTAGTAGAAGTTACTTCTGTGTTGTTCTTCTAATTTTCACCTTCCTTCCGAGCCTTCCTAGTCTGTTGTTCTTCTAGTTTTCACTTCTCTCTGAGCCTTCCTAGTAGAAGCTACTTCTAATGTGTTGTTCTAGTTTTCACCTTCCTTCCGAGCCTTCCTAGTCTGTTGTTCTTCTAGTTTTCACATTCTCTCTGAGCCTTCGTAGTAGAAGCTACTTCTAATGTGTTGTTCTAGTTCTCACCTTCCCTCTGAGCCTTCCTAGTCTGTTGTTCTTCTAATTTTTACCTTCTCCCTGAGCCTTCCTAGTCTGTTGTTCTTCTAATTTTTACCTTCTCTCTGAGCCTTCCTAGTAGAAGCTACTTCTCTGTTGTTCTAGTTTTTACTTCCCGTCTGAAAAACTCTGAAAGCCACCTAGTGCGTTTACTCGGATTATACCTACGGAAAATACACGGTTGACGTTGAACAAGTTGCGTTGACTTTTTGCAATCCCAGCTGCAGCACGGTCATGCTGTGTTTTCACAGCTTGATGTATACGTCTCTGAAATGATAGAGTTCACTTGTGTATCGGGGTCTATTACAACACGCATAACAGACTCCAATCGATACAACCCTTCACTCCGGGCCCTCCCCCCATTCCGGAGCCTCCCCCCATCCCTGGCCCTCCACCATCCCGGGCCCTCCCCCATTCCTGGCTCTCCCACATCCCTGGCTCTCCCCCATCCCTGGCCGTCCTCCATCCCGGACCCTCCCCCCATCCCGGACACCCCCCATCCCGGACCCTCCTCTATCCCGGACCCCCATCCCGAGCCCTCCGCCACCCCGAGCCCTCCTCCATCCCGGGCTCTCCCCTCCATCCCGGGCCCTCTCCCATCCTGAGCCCTCCCCCATCCCGGACCCTCCTCCATCCCGGGCCCTCCCCCATCCCGGCCCTTCTTCTATCCGTCTATAAACGACACAGCTTCTGAGATTTCTGGGTCAGAACCCCAGGTCCTATTTACGGAGAGTTGTTTGGATTTCTGCATTAAAATTTGTGTCGTTGGAACTTCTTGCTTTTTTTCAAACATTGTGCCTTGAGCAGCTATAATCTCATGTTTTTGAATCGTTCTGTCTCTCTCTGTGTTTGCAGACATACCGGATATTCCCGATAACATCAAGTACTGCAAGAATCTACAGATAGCCGAGTTCAGCAGCAACCCCCTGTCACGGTGAGTCTGTCTGTCTGTCTGTGTGTGTGTGCGTGTGTGTGTGTGTGTGTGTGTGTGTGTGTGTGTGTGCGTGCGCGTGTACGTGTGTGCGTGCG